GGTGGGGCCCCCCGCCCGCACCACCTGGCGCTCCCGAGGCCCGCTTAGCCGCGCACTGACCTGCAGGTGACCTGCTTGGTGCTCATGGTGGTTGGGTTCGGGGGGCCGTGGTCGCTCCGACGCCCCTCGCTACAGCCACCGCCGCCGCCTCGGCCTCAGCCCGGCCCATCCCGCGCAGCCGCGTCACGCCGGCGCACTCCGCCCCTCGTGTGTGGCAGCCTCGTCGCGCCGGCCGGAAACCTTGCCGCCGTCACCAATGGTTTCGCACCCTCGGGCGAGGCCGAGCGGTCCTCTCACCCTAGCGCTCCGTGCGTTTCCCACCTTCGGGGCCATGGTTCCCTCGGCGTCACCTGCTGGTCCTCCTGGCCTGGTCCACGAGCATGCCTCAGCCACCGCCCGCGTCTCTTCACCTCGTCCTCACCGGGGCCAGGCTCCCGCCTCTCCCTGTGCACCTTAGCTCCAGGCCCCTTCCACCCAGCTCGCTCCCGCGGCGCCGCCTCCCGCGTGCCTTCTGCACGCTGCTTTTCCCAAACCGCCGCCTTCACCCCGGGCTGTAGTCCTCATTGTCGTTCCTGGCCTTTTCCTGCGGATCGTTTTTTATGCCCTTTGGTGGGAACTCCAAAAGTTGTTCTTGGCGCGTCCCTCCAGTTCTCTGGATCCTGCAGGGCCTGCGTCCATAGCGGTGTCCAGGGCACCCAGTCCTGGTTCTAGGCTGAGCACCTGTCCCTTCTGCCCAGGTGTAATCGTGCAATAGCCTCTTGGCTGCTCCTGCCCTCTGTAGCCTGCTGTCACACAAGCTACAGTCACATACATATAGCCTTAATTCCATCTGCTTCCTCTTCCTTCATCTTTTGCATTATTGTTGCCATTTTACTTCTGTATATATATAATTTTCTAATAATTATTTATTTTAAATGTTATTTATTCATTTACTTATTTTATTTTGGCCAGAGAGAGATACAGAGAGAGAAAGTGAGAAAGCAAGCAACCAGGTCCCGGATTTGAACCATGGTCAGCCATGTGGGAATGTCCAGCACCTTAACCACCACGCCACCTGCTGGTCCCCAACTTCTGTATATTTTTAAATTATTATTGAATTATTATTATTTAAATTTTGCTATATGACATGTGCACTCAGCAGAGACAAAAAGAAAGTGGAAAAGCAAGCCATCAGGTCTGGGCCTCTATTCTCTTAGGATTTTGGAGTGTGCCCAAAATCCGAAGAAGAAAATAGAGATTTCAGTGTGGTAGATCCCTCTGGGGGGAGGGGGTTATTTCTCTCACTTTCCATCTCTCTTTTTCTCTCTGATGCGTGCATTTGGCCTATGGCAAAAACCTTAGAAAAATAACCAAAACAAAACTGGGGACCTTCTGAATGTGACAGATGCAGCCTCATTATTTTGAAAAGTAGGAAAAGAATCAGATACATATGGGGCCAGCAGGTGGTGTAATGGTTATGTTGCTGCACTCTCAGATGGCCAACTGTGGTTCAAATCCCGGATCAGGCAGCTTGAAAATCACGCTGGGCGTGTGTGAGCGCATGCCCAAAATCCCAGAAAGATGGAGGAGAAAGGATTGTTGTGGCGTGGCCATTCCCACTGGGGGTGATTTCTCACTTTCTCTTTCTCTGTTTCTCTGTGGTGAGTGCACACACCCTACAGCAAAAACCTTAAAAAAAAATAAAGGAGTCAGGTACATGTACATTCTTTCCTGTGTGACTGAGCTACTGCATACTGAGTAATAGCCGAGAAGATAGATACTTCAAGAGTTTATACTGTTCCGGGGGAACCAGCAGCTAGCGTAATGGCTATGTCACTGGACTCCCATGTGGTTGACCAAGGTTCGCGTCCCGGACCCGGTGGCTTAAACTCATGCCGGGCGCGTGTGCGTGTGTGCCCAAGATCCCGAGGAGAAGGGATTGCGGTGTGACCATCCCCCCTGGGGGGTGATTTCTTGCTTTCTGTCTCTCTGTCTCTCTCTGTCTGTCTGGCGAGCGCATGCGCCCTATAGCAAAAAAACCTCTCCAAAAAACAAACAAAAAAAAGAGTTTATATACTGTTCCGGAAAAAAAAAAAAAAAAAGAGTTTATACTGTTCAGGACCAGCAGATGGCATCATGGTTATATACCTGGACTCGATGTAGTCGACTGTGGTTCCAGTCCTGGACCTGGCGACTTAAAACCCACACGTGTACATGTATGCCCAAGAGCCTGAGAGGAGTCTGGAGAAGGGATTGTGGTGTGGCCATACTCCGGGGGTGGGGGGTGGGTGGGGGCAATTTCTCACTTTCTGTCTCTGTCTCTCCGGCAAGTGCATGTGCACTATAGCAAAAAACTCTCTTAAAAAAAAAAAAAAGTTTATACTGTTCTTTTTTTTAATTGCCAGAGGGTACATACACTTCCCAGGGAGAAGCAGAGGGAGAGGGAGCGAAAGCATGCCTAATAGGGCATGTCATGTCATGCAGCAGTCCTTTCCCCTTCATCTCAAAAAGGTTAGAGGTAGGACCAGCAGATGGCATATTGGTTACGTTGCTGGACTCCCATGTAGTCGGCCGCAGTTCGAGTCCTAGACACAGTGGCTTAAAACTCACGCCAGGCGCGTGTGCGTGCGTGCCCAAGATCCCAAGAGGAGAGTGGAGGGGAGGGCATTGTGGTGAGGTGTGGCCATCCTCCTGGAGGGTGATTTCTTACTTTCTGTCTCTCTGTCTCTCTCTGTCTTTCTGGCTAGCGCATGTGCCCGATAGCAAAAACCTCTCCAAAAAAAAAAGGACGTGCGACCAGCAGTTAGCGTAATGGCTATTGCACCGGACTCCCATGTAGTCGACCGTGGTTCACATCCCAGACCTGGTGGCTTAAAACTCATGCCAGGTGCGTGTGAGTGCGTGCCCAAGATCCCGAGAGGAGAATGGAGGAGAAGGGATCACGGCATGGCCATCCCCCCTGGGGGGTGATTTCTCGCTTTCTGTCTCTCTGTCTCTCTCTGTCTGTCTGGTGAGCGCATGTGCCCTATAGCAAAAACCTCTCCCAAAAAAAAAAGCATGTATTCATACACAGTATCTTCCCTGTTCCTCCATCCTGCCAAGATTTTGAGCACACACGAACATGTGCCCAGCATGTTTCTCAATTCCCTGGAGCCAGGACTTGAACCATGGTTGGCCCTGTGGCATCCAGCTCCCTTAACCACTAAGCTATGGGGCCAGCCCCATTTTCTCTTATAGAACTAGCTGCTCATCAGTGATTTTTTGGTGAAATTTAGAAGGTGAACTCCTTTGCTCCTTCAGGTTAAACAATCCAATCAATAATCAATAGCTGTGTAGTTTCTATTCATAAAGAACAATCTCAGGACCAGCAGATGGTGTAACAGTTACATTACTGGACTCCCACATAACTGACCATAGTTCAACTCCCATATCCAGAGGCTTGAAACTCACGCCAGGTTCCTGTGCATGTTGGCCCAAAATCTCAAGAAAGAGAAAAAAAGAAACAAAGAAAAATAAAGTGAGAAAGAGAAAGGAAGGAAGAAAAGAGAGAGAAAGAAAACAATCTCAGGCCCAGGTCACCTGAGCTGGCTGTCTGGCTATAACCTGCCTTCGCTGTAACCAGAGTCGGTGGCTGAAATGATTTTGAAGGTCTTTCTAGTGTCATTCTCATGTTACAACATAGAAGGGCCCTTTTTCTGTGTCTCTGTGTAGTGTAATTTCCTTAAATGCACATTAGGAAATGCTTCTCTTTGTTTTTTTTGTTTTGTTTTGTTTTTGTTTTTGTTTTAGAGATTTTCGCTATGGGGCGCGTGCGCTCGCCAGACAGACAGAGCAAGACAGAGAGACAGAAAGTGAGAAATCACTCCCCAGGGGGGATGGCCATGCCGCAATCCCTTCTCCTCCATTCTCCTCTCAGGATCTTGGGCACGCACGCACATGTGCCCAACGTGAATTTTAAGCCACCGGGTCCAGGACGCGAACCGCAGTCGACTACGTGGGAGTCCAGCGACAGAGCCATTACGCCAACTGCTGGTCCCAGGAAATGCTTCTCTTTGTGAAGGCCCTCTACCCTCTGGCAAGTACCTTCTCTGTGGGTCTGGCCCTGGCTAAAGTGCAGAGCCATCTGACTATGGATTCCTGTGTAGTCACTGAGAGCGGGAGCAGGACCTCATTATGGATCTTGTGGACAAGCGTCCAGGCTGAGAGAAAAACACCACTTTCAGGACAGTATACGGTACAGTATTGGGGCTTAACAACAGCCACGTGGGGATATTCACCTAACTTTCCATTCGTTTTCTGCAGGGAACAGAATATGGTGGATGGCGGGCCAGCCCATAGCCTAGTAGTTAAGGGAGTGAGATCCCGCTTGGCTGGCTGTGATTCAGATCCTGGCCCTAGCTCTCCGGGTGTGTGCGTGTGCATGTGCGTGTGTGTGTATATGGGGGGTGGGGGGTGGGGAGGCAAAATTCCAACAGGGTGGAGAAATGGAAAAGAGATTGGGGTATGACCATGAAACCGAGCAATATATATATTTAATTCATTCACTCGCTTATTTTAATTTGACCAGAGAGAGAGGGAAAGTGAGAAAGCAAGCCACCAGGTCCAGGTCCGCAACTCTAACCATGGTTGGTCATGTGGGAGTGTCCAGTGCCTTAACTACCACGCCCAAACCCTAACCTTAACCTCCCCCTAATGTATTTTCTACCTTTCTTGAAATATAAGGTCTATTTACATTGTAAAGGCCCAGCCTAAGGGGTGAGTCTTCAGACTCTGTTTATGATAATGAAACAACCTTGGCCATGAATAAGGGCCATTTGACCTCTAAAATTGTCTCTTAAAGGGAAGATAAGGTTTTCATTTCGATGTAAGATGTGTCGGAGGCTGGAAACTGCTGGCCCTAAGCTCAAAGACCCGACTGAATGGCTCCAGACACCTGAAGAGAAATTTGATGATCTAAGGCCTCACCAATCAAGAACGTACCTGAGATGGTCACGCCCTCTTGAACCGGTCACTGAACTGATCATGCATCTGAGTCCTCTGCCTAATTTCGCCCTTAAAAATGCATGTGGGGGGACCAGCAATTAGCGTAATGGCTATGTCGCTGGACTCCCACGTAGTCAACCGCGGTTCGCGTCCCAGACCCGGTGGCTTAAAACTCACGCTGGGTGTGTGTGCGTGCCCAAGATCCCGAGAGGAGAATGGAGGAGAAGGGATTGCGGCGTGGCCATCCCCTCTGGGGGGTGATTTCTCACTTTCTGTCTCTCTGTCTCTCTCTGTTTGGTGAGCACATGCGCCCTATGGCAAAAACCTCTCAAAAAAAAAAAAAATGCATGTGGGGAACATCTCGGGGAGACTGGGTCTTTGCAGCATGAGCCGCCCGCTCTCCTCGCTTTGCGCTTTGCAGTAAAGCTGGGCTTTCCTTCATCACACCATGTGCCTATCGTTTGGTTTTTATAGGGTTTGGGTGAGCGAACCTGGTTTGAGTTCAGTAACAGCCATACCCCACTGGGGCGTGCTCCAACCCCCTCCTCCTATCTCTCTCTGACTTGTGCTCATGCCCTCTGGAAATTATAAGAAAAAAAATAGAATATGGTAGGTGAGGGGCTAGCAGGGTTAGGGTAGTGGTTATGTTGCCAGATTTCCACATGGCTGACCATGGTTCGAGTCCCAAATCTGGTGACTTGAAAATCACTCTTGTGGGAACCAGCAGTTAGCGTGATGGCTATGTCACTGGACTCCCATGTAGTTGACCGCGGTTCGTGTCCCGGACCGGTGGCTTAAAACTCACACCGGGTGCGTGTGCCAAGATCCCAAGAGGAGAATGGAGGAGAAGGGATTGCGGCGTGACCATCCCCCCTGGGGGGTGATTTCTTGCTTTCTGTCTCTATGTCTCTCTCTGTCTGTCTGGCGACAGCATGCGCCCTATAGCAAAAAAAACCCCAAAAACCTCTCCAAAAAAACCCAAAAAAAACCGAAAATCACTCTTGTGCCTGCCCAAGACCCCAGGAAGAGAATGGAGGAGAAAGGATTGAGGCACCGCCACCCCCATGCCCCTGCCCCGGGATGATTTCTCATCTTCTCTCTTTCTGTCTCTGTCTCTCTCTGGGGAGCACACATGCCCTGTGGCCAAAACCTGTTTTTTTTTAAAAAAGAATATGGTGGGTGGGAATAGTTATGGGAGAAGCAAGGGGCATTACTTTGTGTTGGTATATTTTTGTGCAGTGGCTTAAAATGATTTTATAATGAAAAGTAATATAATGAGGTAGGAGACAGGGACCCTAACCAGATAGTTAGGGTATGGGCCCAAAATGGAACCACAAAACAGCTCAGTTTTGCGATGGAGGCAGTGGCCGCTCAGTGACTGACCTGCAGCATATCCTCCATGTAAAACAAAGGCTTTTCCCAGGCCCCACCACAGCCAAGGAAGAAGATAGTGACCCAAAGTTTCAAGACAAAGAATCTGCAGGCCTTCATGCCCACTCCAAAGTTAGGAAAATAACTGGACCCAGCCAGCATGTGGCCCTCCCCACCAGGAGGGGAATGCGTGCATGAACAAGGGCTTTTTCCTAGAACAAGTCCGGAAAAAGCCCTTCCCGACCCACATAAAAACCCTGGCCACAGTTCTTCCTGGGCAACCCATTTTCCAGGACCCCTCCCTTCTTCGGAGCTCTTTTTTTCCTACCCTCTCTTTTATTTATTTATTTAAATATTTATTTATTTATTTGGAGAGTTTTTTGCTATAGGGCACGTGCGCTCACCAGACGAGAGAGACAGAGAGACAGAAAGCGAGAAATCACCCCCCCCCCCCCAGGGGGATGGCCACGCTGCAATCCCTGCTCCTCCATTCTCCTCTCGGGATCTTGGGCACGCACGCACACGCGCCCGGCATGAGTTTAAGCCACGAGTCCGGGGCTCTAACTGTGGTCGACTACATCAGAGTCCAGTGACACAGCCATTACGCCAACTGCTGGTCCCCCTACCCTCCCTTTTAATACATTTCCCCGCTTTTCTATACCTACTCTCTGTGTCTGCGACTCTAATTCTCCCTAAGCGTGTGACAAGAACCCGTGTCGTGGCCCGATCACCCTTGCATGCTTCCATAGTACCCACAGTACAATGCAGCTGAAGGGACTTTCATAAACTGAACATTCCTGTGCAAGCACATCCCGACAGCAAATCAGAATAGCCCCAATCGAAGACAAGGCCTCCGCCCTCATCCAGTAGCCCCCCCTACGGAGTGATTAGGATCCTTTCTTCCAACTCTGCTGTTAATTTTTTTTTTTTTTGAGAAGTTTTCACTATAGGGCGTGTGCGCTCGCCAGACAGAGAGAGACAGAGAGACAGAAAGTGAGAAATCACCCCCCAGGGGGGATGGTCACGCCGCAATCCCGTCTCCTCCATTCTCCTCTCGGGATCTTGGGCACGCACGCACAAATGCCCGGCGTGAGTTCAAGCCACCGGGTCCGGGACTCGAACTGCAGTCGACTACGTGGGAGTCCAGCGACATAGCCATTACGCTAACTGCTCCCGTGCTGTTAATTTCTTACGAGCAAGAATACTTCCACTATATAAAATATCAGAAGATAGCCATGAGGTAAAGATTTCATTTATGCAATAACAAAACAATATAACCTAGAGTAGGAACCCAGAAACTGCAGGCCCCAACTCCTAGCAACTCACAGCCCAATGGGAAAACACAAAAATAAATGACTCATTGGGACCAGCAGTTAGCGTGATGGCTATGTCGCTGGACTCCCATGTAGTTGACGGTTCAAGTCCCAGACCCGGTTGCTTAAAACTCACACTGGGCGCATGTGCGTGCGTGCCCAAGATCCTGAGAGGCGAATGGAGGAGAAGGGATTGTGGCGTGGCCATCCCCCCTGGGGGGTGATTTCTCGCTGTCTTTCTGTCTCTCTCTCTCTATATCTGGCGAGCGCACACACTCTCTAGCAAAAATCTCTCAAAAAAAAAACAACACACACACACAAAAACTAAAAGACTCATTAAATAACAGAATTCTGGTCAATATATATTCTACCATTGCCAGGACAAGGGAGACTGGAGGAAGGTGAGAACGGTTTCCTAGCAAAGTAGGGTTTTAGAGGATGAATAGGAGCTGGCTGTCACGGATTGTAACATGTACAAAGTAGCTAGAAGAGCACTCGATAAGCCAGCACAAATGAAAGCTATTTCTTTAAGAAGCCAGGGAGCAGGGCGAGCAGGGCGGCCGGTCTGGTTACTGGTTAACCCTACCTGGTTTGGTCTCTGACGCTGTCCCTTGGTGACATCGCAGAGGGTCGGGTTACCTGGGCGGAGTGCGTTTGCCTGGTGTGTAATGAGGAAGAGGCAGTCCTGGGAAGGTGCTCCGTCGGAGCCCGGAGGCAAAGCCATGCACTGTGCCACTGAGGCTGCAAAGCCTCTAATTAAATTCAACCACTGTAAGAAACACATCTACAGCTTCAGCGTGCCCGCGAGCTGCCCCCTCTGCCGGCAGGACGTGGGCCCCAGGACGCTGGACGAAGCCCCCGTCAGCATCTCTAGCCCATTCACCAATGGGCACCAGGGAAAGTGCTCGTTCGTCCTCAGACCGACCCGGGGGACGTTTCTCAGGTACGGTGCTTTGCGTCACCCCGCGCTGCTGCAGTGGGGCCTTGTGTGTTTTACTCTCTGCCTTTCTCTTTCTGGAATGTACTGTAGCGTGAGCTGTGAGGGATCGTCTTTCCAGAGTTCTGGCCTTCCGCCCTGAGTGGAGGGTCAGGGCTCCTTACAGAAATGTAGATGGTGTGCAAGAGCACGGGCAGAAGGGCCCGCAGGTGCTGCAGCGGTGAGGGATTGAGTCCCGGACCAGGCGTGTGTGTGCGTGCGTGTGCGTGTGTGTGCGTGTGCGTGTGTGTGTTTGCGCAGGCCCAAAATCCCAGGAGGAGAGTGGAGGAGAAGGGATTGCAGTGTGGCCATGCCCCCCTGCCCCAGGGGTGATTTCTCACTTTCCGTTCCAGTGAGCCAGTGCATGAGCCCTGTGGCAAAAACTTAAAAAAAAAAAAAATTGCAGAGAAAATGAGAACAAACCTCACACAGCTTTGAGAGGGAAAAAAATGTGTTAAGAAGCTAACCAGGTGCAGGAACCAGCAGTTAGCGTAATGGCTATGTCGCTGGACTCCCACGTAGTCGACCGCGGTTCGAGTCCCGGACCCAGTGGCTTAAAACTCACGCCGGGCGCGTGTGTGCCCAAGCTCCCGAGAGGAGAATGGAGGAGAAAGGACGAGAGGAGAATGGAGGAGAAAGGATTGCGGCGTGACCATCCCTTCTGGGGGGTGATTTCTCGCTTTCTGTCTCTCTGTCTCTCTCTGTCTGTCTGGCGAGCGCATGCACCCTATAGCGAAAACCTCTCCAAAAAAAAGAAAAAAAGAAGCAGCTAACCAGGTGGGACTGGCAGGTGGCGTGGTGGTTAGAGTGTTGAACTCCCATACGGCTGACTGTGGTTCGAGTCCTGGACCTGGCAGTTTGCTTTCTCTCTCTCTCTCTTCTCTTTCTGGTCAAATTGAAAAGGAAGAAGAAATAAAATAAAATAAATAATTCTTAAAAAAAAAAAAAAGAAAGAAGTTAACCAGGAAAATGACCCAGCAGTTAATCTTTTATTTTAAAAAATAAGTATTCATTTAGTTTTGTTATTATTTTAATTTGCTATAGGGCATGTGTGCTCACCAAAGAGAGAGAAAAAAAGCCGCCAGATCTGGGACTCAAACCACAGTCAGCCATGTGGGAGTCCAGTGCCTTAACCACCATGCCACCTGCTGATCCCCCCCAGAAGTTCATCTGACCCATCGAATACTTTTGCTGCCAGCTGGTTTGTAGCTTCTGCGACAGCAACGTAATCCGGAGAGCCCGAGGAGCAAGCGCTGGCTCCCAACGCTGCATGGGGGAGTTACACTGACGACGAGCCTGTTTTCTGTCCACTCAGAAATCCAAAGGAAGGATTCTGCCTTGTTGTCCCCATAGAGGTTTCAAACATGGTTCGAATCCTGGTCCTGGTGGCTTGAAAAACATGGTGTGTGTGTGTGCTCCAAATCCTGATGGGATGCAGAAATGGAGGAGAAGGGACTGCAGGAAATAAGATGGGAGGCCAGGACAGGCTGTGGGGAGGACCACACTGCATCAAGACCTTTGGGTGTACTCACCTTTTCCTCTTTTTCTTTTGGAGAGGTTTTTGCCATAGGGCGTGTGCACTCGCCAGATAGGCAGAGAGAGACAGAGAGACAGAAAGCGAGAAATCACCCCCCAGGGGGGATGGCCACGCCGCAGTCCCTTCTCCTCCATTCTCCTCTCGGGATCTTGGGCACACACGCACACATGCCCGGTGTGAGTTTTAAGTCACCGGGTCCGGGACTCGAACCGCAGTCGACTACATGGGAGTCCAGTGATGTAGCCATTACACCCACTGCTGGTCCCACCTCTTTCTCATTAATTAGACAAACAAATATAAATAAAAGACATTTCGGGGCCAGCAGGTAATGTGGTGGTTAGGGTGCTGGACTTCACATGCTTGACTGGCAGCTTGCTTTTTCACTTTCCCTCTGTCTCTCTGGTCAAATTAAAAAATAATAATAAAGTTAAAAAAAATTCTTAAAAAAAAAATAAAGACGTTGTGGAACCAGCAGTTAGCATAATGGCTGTCGCTGGACTTCCACCCACGTAGCTGACCTCGGTTCGAGCTCCGGACCCGGTGGCTTAAACTCATGCTGGGTACGTGTGCGTGCATGCCCAAGATCCCGAGAGGAGAATGGAGGAGAAGGGATTGCGGCGTGACCATCCCCCCCGGGGGGTGATTTCTTGCTTTCTGTCTCTCTCTGTCTGGCGAGTGCACGTGCCCTATAACAAAAACCTCTCAAAAAAAAAAAACACTCTCACACACACAGACACACACACACACAAAAGAAACAAAAACAAAAACAAAACACACACACACACACAAACAAAACTTGTTTCTTCCAGGGAATACGATGGAAGGTCTGATCTTCACGTTGGGATAACGAACACACACGGTGAGTGTGTTTTCACTTTCCATTTTTTAGCTTAAAAAATAAAACGCACCCCGAATCCCCACAATACCCAGTTAGAGGAGAGCGGTATGTCTAGAAGGAGGACTTGAGGCAAAGTTTGCTTTGAATTCCTTTGCTAGCTGGGGTCCACTGCACCAGGAGGGGGCGCTGCTCCCCTGAAGAGAAGGCTGACCTCGGCCCCGCTTTAGAGAGCCCCTCAAAGCCACGCGTGTTTAGTTTTTAGGAGAAGTAGAGACCCCTGTCTGAGAGGGCGAATGACCCGGGACCTCCCATCTTGTGTCTGCAGCAGGGTTGGGAGCGGCCTCTGATTCCCAGCCTTCCCCGGAGCCTCCACTGGTGGGTCTTCACTCCAGGGCCTCCAGGGTCTCCAGGGGCTGTAATAAATACCTATGGGAATAAAACAGGGGACCATACACCTTAGGGTGTGGTGGGGCCTGCAGGGGTTTCCTTAAAGAGAGGGGGGAAAGGGGGACCAGAGGATGGTATAATGAGCTCCCATGTAGTCGACCATGGTTCGAGTCCCGGACCCAGTGGCTTAAAGCTCACACCAGGCCAGGCGTGTGTGCCGCACGTGCGTGCCCAAACTCTGAAGAGGAGAAGGGATTGCGGAGTGGTCATCCCTCCCGGGGTGCTTTCTTGCTTTCTGTACCTCTGTCTGTCTCTGTAGCAAGCACACATGCACTATAGCAAAAATCTCTTAAGAAAACAAAAAGGGGCGGGGGGGGGGATAGAAAGGAAGGGAGGGAGGGAAGGAGGGAGGGAGGAGTTAAGGAAGGAAGGAGGGAACAACAGAATGAGGGAGCACGCCAAGACCCAGTGAGTGCTTGGTTCCTGTGCCGGGTTTAGCTCTGACGGTGCAGTCTGCACCCCGAGACCAGAGCATCTTGGGTGCCAGAGAAGGGCCTGGCCAGAGCCCCTCCAAGGGCCTGAAGCTGGAATGCTGAGCCAGGTGAGGTCTGAGTGCAGCCGGTTCACACCCCTGGGCGAGAGAAACTGCTCTGTGAACAGAAACCTGGAACTCGCTCCCTGGACTTGTCTTTTTTTTTTTTTTTTTTAAGGGGAGGGATTTTTGCTATAGGGTGAGTGTGCTCCCTGGAGAGACAGAGAGACAGAAAGCGAGAAATCACCCCCTGGGGCATGGCCACGCTGCAGCCCCTCCTCCATTCTCCTCTCGGGATTTCGGACATAGCACGCACACGCGCCCCTGTAAGCCACTAGGTCTGGATCTTTTTTTTCTTTATTTAGGAGGTTTTTGCTATAGGGCGCATGTGCTCGCCAGAAAGACAGAGAGAGAAAGCGAGAAATCACCCCCCAGGGGGGATGGCCACGCCACAATCCCTTCTCCTCCATTCTCCTCTCAGGATTTTTGGCATGCACACACACGCACCCAGCATGACTTTAAACCACCGGGGGAGGCGGGGGGACTCAAACAGCAGTTGACTACATGGGAGTCTAGCACACAGCCATTGTGCCAACTGCTGGTCCCTAGGACTCAATATTTTTTAAAAACTCCGATATACCCACAGGCGTGGTCAGATTTATCACTCATTTTTATCAGTGGGAATTTACTGCTGATTTAAATAAACAAGACAGACTGATTAATATTATAGGAAACCTATTTATACTTGCCCAAGAAAGAGGAAAAGGAAAAAGTGAGAAACCACCCCCTGGGGGATGGACACGCTGCAATCCCTTCTCCATTCTCCTCTTGGGATTTTGAGCGTGCACACACATGGCTAGCATGATTTTCAATCTACTGGCTCCTGGACTGGAACTTCGCAGGCAACCATGTGGGATACGGCTGTCTTAATCTCCTTCCCAACTCTTGGCTAAGATCTTTTTTTTTTTTTTTAAATTATTTCTTCAATGAGCAAGAGAGACAGAACACATACACCCACAGGGTTCCTGTGTGACCCACCCTAGCCTTCGGGCAGCGTAGTGTCCTAGACAAAAGTTCCCAACACATTCAGGGAGGTCTCTGGGCTTGAACCGCGAACCTCCCACATCGGGTTGCCCTGCAGAGGGTTGTGTCCTACCCTGCGCCATTGTCAGGCTCCCAGTGAAGCATGTCCCTGAAGCTATGCACCGCTTGGTTCTGGTCTGCAGGGGTTGTGTACAATTACGACGCGCGGGGGGTCCAGAGAGACACCGCGGGGTGGGAGCAGAGCGTCAGCATCCCGCTGCTGCAGCCGGGCATGTTCGGGCTGATGGACCAGTGGGACAAGTACCTGGAAGACTTCTCCTGCACCGGGGCCTGGCTGCCCCACAGGTACGCAGCTGCGGAGCCCCCCTCGCCTTCCCAAGCTGGCGAGATCCCTGAGTGGTGCGGCGACGAGGCCTAGCTGCATGCAGCTTCAGGTTGGGCCCATGACAGACATCGGCTCTTGTGACAGCACTGAGACAGGCCCTGAGGGCTTCAGGGTTTGGCTTTCTGCAGAGATGGGTCTGCATATGTTTGCAGGATAGCCACTGCATTTATGCTCTCGCCGTTTTAGTTAGGTGACTAGGTTGTTTTTTTTCTGAGAGGTTTTTGATATAGGGTGTGTGCTCGCTGGAAAGACAGAGAGAGACAGAGAGACAGAAAGCAAGAAATCACCCCCTCCGGGGGGGATGGCCACGCCACAATCCCTTCTCCTCCATTCTCCTCTCAGGATCTTAGGCACGCATGCACGCGTGCCCCGTGTGAGTTTATGCCACCGGGTCCAGGACTCGAACCGCGGTCGACTACATGGGAGTTCAGCGACATAGCCATTACGCCAACTGCTGGTCCCCGTGACTAGGTATTTCACACAGCATAGCCACAGTCCGGTAGTCCCCAACACAATTTTTTTAAGCGAATTATCGTATTTAACTTTATTTTAATTTGACCAGAGAGAGATAGAGTGAGACAGAGAGAGCGGGAGAGAGAGAGAAAGTGAGAAAGGAAGCTGCCAGGTCCAGGACTCGAACCACAGTCAGCCATGTGTGAGTCTAGCACCCTTAATCACTACGCCACCTGCCAGCCCCCTAACACAATTTTAAAAATTATTCAATGTTATGTATTTATTGTGATTATTTTTTTTCAATTTGATCAGAGAAAGAGAGACAGAGAATGAGAAAACAAGCCACCAGGTCCAGGACTTGAACCATGGTCGGCCATGTGGGATGGGAATCCAACGTCTTAAACACTATACCACCTGTTGGCCCACAATTTAAAAAACAACAACAACAAAAAAAAACAACCATGAGAGGGTGTGCCCATGAGAGAGACAGAGAGAGAGAGAGCAGGAAAATACTCCCAGTGGAGCATGGTCACGCCATAATGGCCCCCCTCTGGTCTCCATTCTATCAGGATTTGCAGTGCTGTGACAAACACGTGCCTATTTTCTTACTTTTTTTCTTTCTTTTTTTTTTGGAGAGATTTTCGCTATAGGGCGCGTGCGCTCGCCAGACAGACAGAGAGAGACAGAGAGACAGAAAGCGAGAAATCACCCCCCAGGGGGGATGGTCACGCCGCAATCCCGTCTCCTCCATTCTCCTCTCGGGATCTTGGGCACGCACGCACACGCGCCCAGCGTGAGTTTTAAGCCACCGGGTCTGGGATGCGAGCCGCAGTTGACTACGTGGGAGTCCAGTGACATAGCCATTACGCTAACTGCTGGTCCCCAACATGTGCCTATTTTCCATGCTGCAGGGGCTGGGAATTGGTCAGCCTTGTAGGATCTGGCTCCTGTAACCACTACCCCACAGGCTGGCTCCTCCACAATTAAAAAAAAAAAATTTTTTTTTTGCCATAGGGGTGTGCACTCACTGGAGATAGAGAGGGAAGTTGAGAAATCACCCCCCAGGGGCGATGGCCACGCCACAATCCCTTCTCCTTCATTCTCCTCTCGGGATCTTCGGCATGCACGCACATACACCCGGAGTGAGTTTAAGCCACCGGGTCCAGGACTTGAACCGTGGTCAGCTACATGGGAGTTCAGCGACACAGCCATTACACCAACTGCTGGTCTCGATGTTCAAGGTGTAAAACACTTAAAGCTTTATTTTATTTATTTATTTATTTTAAAAATAATTATTTTATTTATTCATTCATTTATTTTGAGAGAGAGACACAGAGAGAGAGAGAGGGAGAAAGAAAGTAAGCCACCAGGTCCAGGACTCAAACCACGGTCGGCCATGTGGGAGTGTCCAGCGCCTTAACCACCATGCCACCTGCTGGTCCCAAAGCTTTATTTTTATGGTAGAAGTTTTTGTCTTAGGTTGCGTGTGCTCCACCAGGGAGAGATGAAGAGTCAGAGGTAGTGAAAGGGAAAATGAGCAATCACTCCCTGTGGGGGATGGCCACGCTGCAATCCCTTCTGCATTCTTCTCCTGGGATCTTAGGCATGCACGCACACTCACTTGGTGTGATTTTCAAGCCACCGCGTCTGAGACTCGAACCAGAGTCAGTCATATGGGAGTCCAGTGTTGTAACTGCTACACCATCTTCTGTCCCCTAATGCTTTTTTTGGCATTAGCCATTTTGAAATTAATTTCTCAGCTCCCTGTAATTTTAGAAGATGCGTAGTATATTCATGGATTGAAATAATTTTGAGGCTTCCCTTCAAATTTGAGTGTCTAAAGTTACTTAGACACTGTGAGATGTCAATAAAAAAAATAGGAGTTCCACATCCTAGACTCTCACTGAAATGAGGTCCTCCAAATTGGCAGTTCACATGCAATCAAGTCCCCACTCTGGACCTCTGGGTGAATCGGCTCTTCTCTGTCCTTATGCAACAAGTAGAAATAGTTCAGGATGCCAACTGTGCCCCCAGAACTGCACCTCTCGAAGCTTCATACCCATGTGGGCCAGAGATACCCAGGGGCTCAGCTTGCGAGGGATTCAATTTTACTTGAGAAAGTCCTTCAGTAGCTTCAAGGCCTGTTCCTCAGCAGTTTTGTTTAATCTTTTTTAAAAATTTGTTTACTTATTTATTTTAATTTGACCAGAGAGGGCCAGAGTGACTCAGACAGAAAGGTAGAAAGCAAGCCACCAGGTCCAGGACTGGAACTGCAGGCAGCCATGTGGGAGTCTAGTGCCCTTAACCATCATGCCACCTGCTGGTCCCTGTTGAATCTTTTTGAATTTATTTATTTCTTCTAAGAGAGAAAGATTGAGCACAGGCCTCACAGGGTTGGTAGGCCGGGACCCGCCCCCAGCCTCGGCCTGTCCAGGTTGGATGCACATGCACCCTGAGTGCACCGGGAGACCTTGAGTGCAAACCGGGGCCTTCCCACATGGCAGAGCCAGGCTTCCCCCTGCACAGCCCCGACTGGCCCCTGAGCCGCGTCCCAAGGGAATGAGAAGTTAATGCACAGCTTCCCTCCTCCTGTCCGCCCCGGAAGGTACGAGGAAGACGAACACAACTGCTACACTTACACGCTGTCCTTCATCAACTGCGTCCTGAGCGCCGAGGGCAGGGAGCGGCTGAGCAAGCGCGAATTCACTGAGAGGTTCGTGCTCCCGAGGACCAGGCTGGTCTCCAAGTACATCGTGCTCTACCGGGCGGTGGAGGAGCACGGCTTCCACGTCACTGACCCCCCTGACCAGCGGACAAGCCCTCCCTGAGGGGGCTGTGCTGAGTGCGAGGAGAAGGGACTGGAAGGGGCTTACGGCCTGCAGTGAACACTCTAAGTGCATTCAGCCGGGCTTACTGAAAAGAGGGTGCTTGTCCTTTAAGGCTGTTTCAGCTTACCGCAGGATTAATGACAAAGCGAATAAAAACTGTCTGGCTTTTAAAAATTAGATGCATCACAACTAAGTTATGTTTATAGTGACTGGTTTTTATTGAATTTTTGTGTGTGTGTGTTTTTCTTTTTTTCTTTTTTTAGGTTTTTGCCATAAGCTGCACGCACTTGCCGTAGACAGAGATAGAGAGGGAAAGTGAGAAATCACCCCCCAGGGGGGATGGCCACACTGCAACCCCTTCCCCTCCATTCTCCTCTCAGGATCTTGGGCACACATGCACATGCGCCTGGTATGAGTTTCAAGCCACCGGGTCCGGAACTTGAACTGCAGCTGGCCATGTGGGAGTCCAGTAAGGTAACCAGCATGCCACCTGCTGGCCCCAGTGGCTGGTTTTAAATAGAGATTGCATGGTAAAGTGGAGCGGGCAGGATCTTTTATTCTCAGAGCAATGACACTATTCCTACAAATGAATTGGGAGTTGAACAAATTCACCATGAGATGTGAATCCAGGAGGTGGGACTGGAAGACAGGAGACACAGCTCATAAACTAAGTAATATCTTTTTGTTTTTGTGTAAAAAGCATATGGTGAGGGATCAGCAGTTGGTGTAATGGCTATTACTGGATTCCCATGTAAGTCAAACACGGTTTGAGTCCCAGACCTGGTGGCTTAAACTCACACCGGGCGCGTGTGCGCGCGGGCCCAAGATCCCGAGAGGAGAATGGAGGAGAAGGGATTGCAGTGTGGCCATCCCCCCTGGGGGGGTGACTTCTCCCTTTCTGTCTCTCTCTCTCTTTCTGGTGAGCGCATATGCCCTATAGCAAAAGCCTCTCAAAATTTTTATTTTGCACCAGGGACAGATAGACAGAGGGAAAGTGAAAAAAATCACCCCCCTGGGGGAATGGCCATGCCACAATCCCTTCTCTTTCATTCTCCTTGGGATTTTGGGCACTCAAGCACAGGTGCCCTGTTTTACAAGCTGCCAGGTCTGGGACTCAAACCACCCAGTCGGCTATGTGGGATCCAGTGCCTTAACCTGCATTCCACCTGCTGGCTGGGATGAGTCCTTCGAGGAAGGCACCGATGAACTGATGAGTCCCGGTAAGAAGTGTTGTCAGAAACAAGAGGGAAGAACCGCCTCCCAAAGTGGTTTTGCTGACTTTCAAGGTTTACTTATTTTTAAAAATAGATTTATTTTAAAAGAATTATTTAATTTTATTTATTCAATCATTTATTTTAATTCGACCAGAGAGACAGAGAGAGAGAGAGACAGAGAGAGAGAAAGCGAGAAAGCAAGTTGGCCAGTCCAGAACTCGAACTGTGGTCGGCCATGTGAGAGTGTCCAGCGTCTTAACCACCATGCCCCCTCCTGGTCCCATGACTTTCAAGGTTTTTGAGAAAGTAATGAGTCAAAACAAAGCAATCGTTTCCCAGCCCAGTGGTGGCTGAGGTCCTAGATTACCAGAGCTGACCGGGGTTCAAGTCCTGGACTTGTTAGCTTGCTTTCTCACTTTCTCTCTTTCTCTGATGAGCACATATACACTATAGCAAATTAAAAAAATAAATGGGGGACCATCAGTTAGCTTAATGGCTATGTCGTTGGACTCCCATGTAGTCGACCGCGGTTCGCGTCCCGGACCTGGTGGCTTAAGACTCATACCAGACGCGTGTTCGTGCGTGCCCAAGATTCCGAGAGGAGAATGGAGGAGAAGGTGTTGCGGCATGGTCATCTCCCTGGGGGTGATTTCTCGCTTTCTGTCTCTGTCTCTCTCTGTCTGTCTGGCGAGCGCTTGCGCCCTATCTCAAAAATCTCTCCAATAAATAAATAAATAAATAGGTAAAAATTAAAAAAAAAAAAAACTCTCCCCTGCTAAGGAGCCTAGCACGGGGAACGTGAGAGTAGAAATGTGGAAGAACTGCTGGCATCTCTAACGAAAGGCAAGGAACTGGCTCCCGAGAGGCTCTTCCCAATGGTCCCTGCAGTTTGAAGCAGGGGCAGGCATGCCACCGCTCTGACACCATGTCACATCGAGGTCAGGCAGCGGATGCGCCTGCTGACCTGCCAGCAGGACCGCAGGGGCCGGCCTGGTGCAAGAGCACTGACATGCTGCCCAGAGCATGCTGGGCCCACAGCTTGGACGCAGGGCTGGGGTTCACCCTGCAGAGGGCCAGGGCTCGGTCCGCCCTGCAGCTGGGTATGCGTGCCCACAATCCTGGCTGACTGGGAGGGCGGGCAGGTGGAAGGCAGCGTGAGCCGTCCTGGTGAGGATGTTCATCTCTCCCCATCTCCCTCACTCACAAAAGTAAGAAAACTTAAAGAAAACAAAAAGAGCAGGGCCCCGACACGAACAGCTGCCCTGATGACGTCAGCTACCGGCAGAATCTACGTGGTCAGGAGTTCTAAGACCACGGGCCAGGGGAATGCCGGCAGATGCCCGCTTTGATTTTTTTCTTTTCATTGTTTTGGAAGCTGGGTCCCCTCTTGAAGGTCAAGGAAAGGTCCCACCAGTTTCTCGAGTGCAGACCCAGGTGACCTCAGGCTTCCATTCTCTTACACCTTCACTAGCCCGTGGCGGCTCGACCCCACCTCCGACGAGCAGCCACCCGTCTCGCTCTCCTCCTGCCACGCGGGCAACTCCTCACTGCTTCCTACCCAGTGGGCATGAAGCTTTGTTTACTGGTTTTTGCTAGATGCTAACTGCATTTGTTCTGTTTCCAAACATATTATTTTATCCCAGACTTTATAACAAGTTCACTGACAGCAAAATGCAATTGAAATCTCATATTACACGATTACTGCTGTGTTCTGTACACAGACTCGCTCACCAAGGAGCTCATGGGGAATGAAATGACTAGGTAATAGATTTTTTAAAAACAATCATTCATTTTATTTGTTGTTACTATTTGACTGGAGAGAGACAGAGAAAGGGAAAGTGAGAAAGCAAGCCGCCAGGTCCAGGACTCGAACCGTGGTGGGCCATGTGGGAGTCCAGTACCCCTAACCACTGCACCACCAGCCGGCCCCAAGTTGATGTTTTAAAGGCTTCCCACCTACAATACAGAATTCCTAGGCAGATACTAAAGGTTTTTTTTTTTTTTTAGGTTTCTGCTATAGGGTGCACGTGCTTACCAGAGACAGAGAGAGAGACAGAGAGAGAGAGGGAAAAGTGAGAAATCACCCAGTGGGGCTGGCCAAGCCACAATCCCTTTTCCTCCATTCTCTTCTTGGGATTTTGGGCACGCATGCACACGCGCCCTGTGTGTTTTACAAGCTGCAGGGTCTAGGACTCGAACAGTGGAGTTGGCTATGTGGGATCCAGCAGCCTTAACCTCCATGCCACCTGCTGGCCCTTAGAGGGATTTTTAAAATATCTGGGATATTGGTTGTTCTGAGTAACCTGAGCCGATGATGAGTATTTTTCCCACTGCAGATGATGAAACGTAGGTTACAATAACCCTACACCTGCTGACACTCACTCAGGAACAGATCAGATGTGGGTACAGTCGCCAGTCATGGAGGTGCTTTACGCACCGTGGAACACGGCATGCGTGCCAACATTCCCGTTTCCAGGTGAGATCAAGGAACATATTTCCCTGTGGGCAGAAGAGTGCTCTCGGGGTGCATCTCCTCCAACGGCCTCAGGACCAGGTGGGGCCCCAGGCAGAGGCCGGAGGCTGGGAGCTCAGGGCCAGATAGAGAGGCGGTGACCACGCAAAGACGTCTATGCCCCACAAGTCCCAGGGAAGGGCTGTCTCCTCTCCTGTGTGGTTTGTGTGTTTCTCTGGAAACACGGACAGTCTCCCGGTCTGGGAGCACTGAGTGCTTTAACACGTTTAAACTACTGGGTGACCACCCGGCCTTGACGGTGGCGTATTCGAGGACACCCCGACAGTGGGCGAGAGGAGACGGGAAGCTGCCGTCAGAGCTCGTCCTGGTCACTCCGCTCGCGTGAGGAGACCCATCGGCTGAGCAGCACCTCCTGCAACCGACCAGAACAAGGTGACCAAATCTCAAAAGTGGAAACGGAAGGACACCCGGCCGTCTGGCATCACACAGTGCCCTCTCTATAGTGAGGAGCCCCTTCCCATTCTCGGCCATGGAAACACCTGGAAAACACGTGGACGTAACAGCTTAAAGCCGACGTGGAACAGCACCTGCTGTCGCCACGGCCCAGGTTTCAGAGGCTGGCCTCGCCCCAGCAGTGGCACCCACCAGCACGTGGCAGGCCAGGCGTGAGTTGAACGTGCACGCTCGCCGTTGGAACCGGGGCTGTGATGGCGCTGGCCCAGCTGGGCCAGCCATGGAGAAGCGGCAGATTCGAATCCGCACTTCGTGAAAAACGAGCCCCTGTAGATAAGCAGGACCAATCAGAGTGGAGGGGCTGGGCCCTGCGGACCAATCGCAGGCCTCAGTGGGACGGGGCCGTGAACACGGTAAAATGCACACGAGACAGGAGGCCAGGACACGCTGCGTGGGGGAGGAGTCAAAGGCGTCCTGGCTTACGCGCAGCGGGAGGGCGCAGGAACCCTGGGTAACGCAGGGGCTGGACAGTGACCCTGGCAGCCCTGCCGCAGGAGAACCAAGACAGGAGGAGGCTCAGTTCACGTCCGAAGCCCGGAAGCCAGATGGGAAGTCCAAGGAGGCAGTGGGCTACTAGGAGCCCTCTAGTCTTCGGGAGCGAGGCTTAGAGGCCCAGGCTGTTTGTGACAGCACTTTCGGCTGGGTGGCGGGGTCCCAGTGAACAGGCCGGGAGCTTGGGAATGTGGGAGGCAGCCCAGGACTGGGGGGAAAGGTGCAAGACAGCTGTCAGGGCCTTTAAGACGGCTCCCAGTTCTTTTCCTGGGAACACAACACCTAGACCCTGATTATGTACAGAACCTCGGTCTCTGAGGTTACCCACCTGGACTTTAATTTGTTTCATACACTCTGGTGACTCCATTTCTTGGTCAGTCATGGTAGAGGGTTTAATCAGATAGCACAGCATGAGTTCCTATGAAGAAACGAAAATCAATTTTCATAGCCTACAAAACAATAGTGAAGGGACCAGCAGTTGGCGTAATGGCTGTTACTGGACTCCCACATAGCTGACCACGATTTGAGTTCTGGACCTGGTGGCTTAAACTCACGCCGGGCACATGTGCGTGCGTGCCCAAGATCCCGAGAGGAGAATGGAGGAGAAGGGATTGCGGCGTGGCCATCCCCCTTGGTGGGTGATTTCTCACTTTCTGTCTCTCTGTCTCTCGCTGTCTGTTTGGCAAGTGCACGCGCCCTATAGCAAAACCTCTCCAAAAACAAAAAAACCCAAAACCCCCTGAAAAACAACAACAACAACAACAAAATAATAATTACAACAATAACAACAAAATAATAATTAAAAAAAAGACACACACTAGCGGAAGCCTGGACAGTGGTGCTGTTGTAAAACGCAGCGCTCTGGGAAGGTTCTGGGTTCACGTCTGAAGCCCTCCCCGAATACTCTGGGCACGTGTCTGTGATCGGGGACTCTTTGAGGATGGGAATCGTGGTGTCAGGACTCGGCTGGGTGTGTTATCTCTCTCTCTCACTTATGCAAAAAAAGAAAGAAATGTAAAAAAAAAACAAACAGGGCCAGCTGGTGGCATGGAGGTTAAGGCACTGGGTCCCACTTGGCCAGGTATGTAGTTCGAGTCCCGGACTCGGCAGCTTGAAAATCACACTGAGCGAGTCGAGTGTGCGTCCATACCACCCTCCCGGGGTGTGAGAAAACACCTCCTTCCCCACCTCTCTCTCTCTCTGGGGAGTGCACATGCCCTACATAAAAACTAAAAATAAACAAACAAAAAAACAAAGCTGGAACAGCTCTGGGTGGGCGACCGGAACTGCAGGAGGGCTGCATTCCCTCCATGCTGGGCTCCTAGAAACAGCACAGAGCCTCTCAGAGACGGCCGTTTCCTCCTGGGAACTTTGTAACTGGGGCTGGAGTTCCTGAGCAAAGACTTCCTGTTCAGGGCCAGCAGGTGGTGCGGTGGTTACGGTGGCTGGACACCACGTGGTCAGCTGCGGGGTTTGGGCCCTGGGCCCCAACACACCAGCACACGTGTGCTCAAAATCCTGAAAAGGGGAACCAGCAGTTAGCGTAATGGCTATGTCACTGGACTTCCACGTAGTCGACTGCGGTTCACATCCCGGACCCGGTGGCTTAGAACTCACGCCGGGCGCGTGTGCGTGCGTGCCCAAGATCCCGAGAGGAGAATGGAGGAGACGGGATTGCGGCGTGGCCATCCCCCCTGGGGGGTGATTTCTCGCTTTCTGTCTGTCTCTGTCTGTCTGGTGAGCGCACACGCCCTATAGCGAAAACCTCTCAATAAAAAAAAAAAAAATCCTAAAAAGAAGAAGAAACGAAAGAGAAGGGACTGAGGCGGGACTGCCCTCAGGGGAGGTGCTATCTTACTTTCTCTCTCTGTCTCTCCGGCAAGAGCGTTATTTAGTTTGCCCTCTGGAAAACCAAATAAAAATACAAATAAATACATTTAAAAAAGACTTTCTACTTAGTAATCATTGACGTAGCAAGAGAAGACAAGTCCACAGACTGCAATAACAGAGCACTCAAAGTACTAAATCCAGAGGCCAGCAGGTGGCGTGATAATTAAGGGCGCTGGACCCCCACATGGCCGGCCTCGGTTCAAGTCTCCGACCTGGTGGCTTGCTTTCTCGCTTTACTTCTCTTTCTCTGTCCTTCTTTGGTCAAGTTAAAATGAAACAAACAAATAAAGTTAAATAAATCTTTTTATTTTTTAAAAAATTATTTTATTTAATTTTATTCACTCATTATTTATTTTATTTGACCAGGGAGAGAGAGAGAGAGGGAGGGAGAGAGAGAGAGAGAGAGAGAGAGAGAAAAGGAAAGTAAGAAAGCAAGCTGCCAGGTCCAGGACTTGAACCAGGGATAGCCATGTGGGAGTACAGATGCCTTAACCACCACGCCACTCGCTGGCCCCAAGTTAAATAATTCTTAAAAAAATATGTGTGTATGTGTGTATATAGGTCCCATAATCTAAGCTTAAAAATACTAGAGCCAGTCTAGACTCCCTAGTCTTTTTTTCTTTTTCTTTTTTTAGAATTATTTACTCAATTTTATTTATTCTTTCATTTATTTCAATTTGACCAGAAAGAAACATGGGGGCGGGGGAGAAAACAAGCCACCAGGTCTGGGACTTGAACCATGGTCGGCCATGTGGGAGTGACCAGCGCTTTTTTTTTTGGAGAGGTTTTTGCAATAGGGCACGAGTGCTTGCCAAAAAGACAGAGAGAGACAGAGAGACAGAAAGTGAGAAATCACCCCCTGGGGAGATGGCCACGCCGCAATCCCTTCTCCTCCATTCTCCTCTCAGGATCTTGGGCACGCACGCACACGCGCCCGGCGTGAGTTTAAGCCACTGGGTCCGGGACTCAAACCGTGGTCTGCTACATGGGAGTCCAGCGACATAGCCATTACGCCAACTGCTGGTCCAAGACTCCCTACTATTTATAGGGCCAAGCTAAAGCCAAGGCCTAACCTGCACTCGGAATTGGCCATCTCCGGCCTCACATCCTGCCATGCCCCTGGGAGCCATGGGCAAAGCTGGAGGGCACCACGATGTGTTCTCAGACAGCAGATCACTAACAATAGAGAACACACGAAACTTCCATTCCCCCCCACCCCCGCAAGTTTTTGTTCTAGAGTGCATGTACTCGCCAGAGAGAGACAAAGTGAGAGATCACCCTCCTCCTGGGAGTACGGCCACACTGCAATCCCTTATCCAGTGTCCTCCTGGGATCTGGGGCAGGTACATGAGCATGTACACGTGCCTGGTGTGAGTTTCAAGTCACCGGGTCTGGGACTTGAACCACGCAGCTAGCCACGTGGGATCTAGCACCTTAAACTCCAGCCACCTGCTGGCCCAAAGCTTTCATTCGTAATAGTCCTAGCATAGCTGGAATGTCCCTTCTAGCTCTGACGGCAACAAGCAGCAGCAGAATGCACACGAGGAAGTCAGAAGGCTGTGGGTTTGAACCCCAGTTCTGCACGAGCTGTGTGGGCCTGGACCGTCTCTCAACATCTCTGAAGCTTTATTTCTCATCCTTGGCCTGGGGATAACACAACCAGGTGGCGAAGGGTTTCGCAGAGTACTAATCCCCTTCTTTGCTAAGAGACTTGACAGCTTGGAAGACACATGTCAACCATGTCGGGAAGGAAGGGCTGTTAGATGACAACAAACAACAACCGTATAGCCACGACCGCTCTGGGGGTCAGGTAGGTCGACTAGACCAGACTCCCACCGGAAATGTCAGAGCTCCATCGCTGAAGCTTAGCTAGCACCAGCTGGGGAGAAAGAGGCCTGAAACAGAACGCCGGGGAGAGCAACTTCCGGTCTAAGAGAAGGTGCAAATGACCCCGACTTTTCCAGAACTTCACTGGCAGGAATATTACGAAGCTTCTTCTTCTTCTTTTTTTCTTTGAGAGAGATTTTTGCTATAGGGCACATGTGCTTGCAAGAAAGACAGAGAGAGAAAGTGAGAAGTCACCCCTCAGGGGAGATGGCCACGCCGCCATCTCTTCTCCATTCTCCTCTCGGGATCTTGGGCACATACACACATATGCCCGGTGTAAGTTTTAAGCTGCCGAGTTTGAGACTTGAACCATGGTCAGTCATGTGGGAGGCCATTGACATAACCATTATGCCATCAGCCGGTCTCCGAATATGAAAAAGTTTCTACCAATCACTTCTGCTTCTACTACATTTAAGAAAAAGGAATGACGTGCTGGTGACACCAGCATGACAGACCGATGCGGCGTTACCTTGGAGACGTTGACTGAGACTCGGCTCAAGGCAGCCAGCGACTTCCAGCTGAAAGGTCTGCGGAGAGAGCCTTCGAAGTGGTCGTCGACCAGCTCAACGATGACGGAGTAGCTGGGGCACAGAGGAGAGTTTGAAAACAAAAAGCATGAAACCCATCTGTTTAAAAAGAATATGGCTTTAAGAAAAAAAAAAAAAAGAGGGACCAGCAGTTAGTGTAATGGCTATGTCGCTGGACTCCCATGTAGTCGACCGTGGTTCAAGTCCCGGACACAGTGGCTTAAACTCACACCGAGCGCGTGTGTGTGCGTGCCCAAGATCCCGAGAGGAGAATGGAGGAGAAGGGATTGTGGCGTGGCCATCCCCCCTGGGGGGTGATTTCTCACTTTCTGTCTATCTGTCTCTGTCTGTCTGTCTGGCGAGTGCACACGCCCTATAGCAAAAACCTCTCCAAAAAATAATAATAAAAAAAAGAATCTGGCTTCTCCTACCTCCCCCCCCCCCCACACACATACATATAGATAGCATAACTATATATAGAGAGTATATAACTATATATTGGCTATAATTGTTTCATTACCAATATATAAAAAGAAAACAACATATAATATGTATAAAAATATGAAAAAGAAAGACAGGAATTAGGATTTACACTGTCTGACCCTAAATCCCCCTCAGCTGCTATTGAAAAACTCATCCTTGAAGTTACAAACATTTTTAAAATTTTTGTAAAGAATTATTTTATTTGTATTTATTATTATTTTAAAATTTGCTATAGGGTGCATGTGTTCAATAGAGAGAGAGAGAGAGAGAGAGAGAGAGAAAGTGAGAAAGCGAGCCACCACGCCTGGGACTGGAACCGTGGTTGGCCATGTGGGAGTCCAGCTATATGGGAGTCCGGCTATGTGGGAGTCCAGCACTGGCCCCCAAGTTACAGACTTCCATGCTGGGTTCGATGCTTACTTACAGGAAAGGAACAGAAATATTTTTCTAACATGAAAGCTGCGCATTCTCTCAACTATTTAGACACTAATATTTACTGACACGAAGATGAACAGTTACTACAGATTAACCCGGCCTTTAATACTGACCCGTTTATCATAACCCACACGTCGCTCTGCGCAGTGTGATGCTGTACGTGTATGACACATGGACATACAGAGACATGACTTTTAATTTTTTTTTTTAGAGTTTTTTTTTTTTTTTTTTGCTAAAGGGCACATGCACTGGCCAGAAAGAGAGACAGAAAGCGAGAAATCACCCCCCGGGGGGGGGGATGGTCATGCCGCAGTCCCTTCTCCTCCATTCTCCTCTCGGGATCTTGGGCACGCACGCACACGCACCCAGCATGAGTTTAAGTCGCCAAGTCCAAGACTCAAATCACGGTTGAACACATGAGAGTCCAGCGACATAGCCATTACGCCACCTGCTGGTCCCAAATCATTTCTTTTTTTAAAACTTATTTTATTTAGCTTTCTTTATTTATTTGATTTGACAAAAGAGGGACAGAGCGAAAGAGAGAAAAGTGAGAAAGCAAGCTGCTGGCCCTGGGACTCCAGAGCTCCTAACCAGCATGCGGCCTGCTGGTCCCCCACTTCTAATCATTTCTATGGCGTGGACACTACATTGGAGGCCAGAAATGTCCTCCTGCCCCCTTAAGCCATTCACCTAGTTAAAAGCAACCCCAGAGGGCCAGATGGTGGCTGACACCATGGGCCATGAGGCAACCCCGTATAAAAGGGTCCCTGGAGCAGGTCTGGAGACCTGTGCATGCCAGACACTCGTGTGCCCACGGTGCAGGGCTGGCTGCGGCCCGCAGTCAACGGCAGGCCCTGGGCAGGTGCTGGCTCGCTCACTCGCTCTCCTTTGCTCATGAAGAAATAAGTGAATAAGTTAAAAAAATAGATTACTCCAAACCTTGCATGATAAAATGGTGGGCCCTTCCGATACAGCACTGTAAAGAAAGAAAAAGAAAATGTATAAATACTCAGAGTCAGAAGCTTACTTTACTACTTAGTTTTTTTCCTTCTCTAAAGGGAGGTGAATATTCAATTATCAGCAGGTAGAAAACTGCACTAAGGCCTATAGTTTATTTGGAAAATCCAATCAATTTTTCCCCGAAACACAGTGCAATTAGTAAAACTCGTCGGTTGCCAAGCCCCTAATATCCTCCTCCCACCCTGCCCCTCAAATAAATCCAAAGTACAAGTGATTCTTGCCTTAGTCTCCAGGGTGACTGTGAAATGACATGTAGAGTGTGAAGTTCTGGGCTGGCTCCATGGCCTGGTGGTTAAGGCAGCTGGTTTCTACATGGCTGATACAGTGGTTCGAGTCCCAGAGCTGGTGGCTTAAGAAACCTGCCGGGTGCGTGTGTGTGGATGGAGAAATGGAGAAGGGATTGTGCCACGCCCCACCCCACAGAGGAGCTCTTTCTACCTCTGCTTTCCTCTTTGGGAAGTGCTCACACACTGGCAAAATTAAAAAGAAAAAAATGAGTGTGAAGTTCATATGATGTTGGTCCAGAGGTGGTCACTGATTTTTAATCGAGGTGTCTGAGGGCTACACTATGACAGGTGCTGGCAGCAGAGATGAAAAAGATCCATAGCTATCTTTCATTTTACTGTAATTTTTTGCTACAGGGTGTGTGCGCTTGCTAGAGAGAAACAGAGAAAGTGAGAAATCATTCCCCAAGGGTGATGGCCCTTCTTCTCCAGTCTCCTCTTGGGATTTTAGACATGTACCTACAAGTGCCAGGTGAGATTTTCACACTGCCAGATCGGGGATTCGAACCAGTCAGCCATGCGGTCTAGCGCCTTAACCTCCTTGCCACCTGCTGCCTCCCTCTCCAGGTCTATCTCTAAGAAATGCATGCGGGGACCAGCAGTTAGTGTAATGGCTATGTTGCTGGACTCCCACGTAGTCGACTGCGGTTCAAGTCCTGGACCCGGTGGCTTAAACTCATGCCAGGCACACGTGCGTGCATGCCCAAGATCCCGAGAGGAGAATGGAGAAGGGATTACAGCATGGCCATCCCCCCCTGGGGGGTGATTTCTCACTTTCTATCTCTTTGTCCCTCTGTCTGTCTGGCAAGTGCACACGCCCTATAGCAAAAACCTCTCCAAAAATAAAAAAAGAAATGCATGCAGTCAGCCAGTGGGCAGTGGTTAAAGCGGCTGGATCCCACATGACCAACTGTGTGTGCTTTGAGTCCTGGACCTGGAGGCTTTAAAAACATGCTGGGCAAGTGTATGTGCGTGCCCAAATTCCCAAATAGAAACGGAGGAGAAAGGACTGCGGTGTGGCCATTCCCCTCTCGGGGGTTACTTCTCACTTTCTCTCTCTCTCTGGTAAGTGCGTATCCCCTACAACAAATTACAAACAAATAAACATATAAAATTTCGAAAAGAAAGATCAAGTTGATGAGAGGCCACATAACCACACGTAGCATGTGGCTATTAGTCGGCCCGACTACTAGGAACCTGAAGACGCTGGGGGTTATGAAGAGTCATTCGGTGAAGGAGCCGAGGGCCAAGGACCGGCCACGTGGACTGCGGGACTTTGCAGGTTCCCCTGGGAGGTCCGGGATCTGTGGCGAGGACTGGCTGGCTCTCACCAGATCCACTCCTTCTCCCCAATGTGTGGCCGGACCACGCCTGTCCCCCACTTGGGTGTGGCTGTGTTGTGACACGTCCAGGGTGACCCACAAACCCTCCTGTGTGCCAAGCCTGCACTCAGGGGAGGGGATGCAGGAAGCCCCGTGGGGGAGACATCAGGAAAAGATGGGGTTCCTGAAACACCGTTGGGAGTCGATCTGCCCACCAGTCAGAAACACCCGTGTTGAATCTCAAGTGAACCGAACGAAAACGAACTCGGTGGCTCAGCCCCTGGAACGTGGGGTTTGCTCATGACTCCGGCTCCAGGAATTACCGTAACGGCTGCACAATTACATCTCTGAGCTCTTAGCTGTCCCCCGGTGCTACGAACAAAGCAGGAAAGTTCAAAGAAAAGTCTTATTTCCCTTGAGGAACTGAAGGAGAAGGGATTGCAGAGTGACCATCCCCCCTGGGGGGTGATTTCTCACTTTCTGTCTCTCTGTCTCTCTCTGTCTGTCTGGCGAGCGCACATGCCTTATAGCAAAAACTTCTCAAAAAAAAATTTATTTTAGTTCATTTATTATTATTATTATTTTCAATTTGACGAGAGAGAGAGAAGAAAGTGAGAAAGCAAGCCACCAGGCCCGGGACTCAAACAGTGGTCAGCCCTGAGGGAGTCCAGCACCTTAATCACCAAGCGCCCTGCTGGCCCCGAGCCTCACAAACAGTTCTGTGGAGTGCCTAGGAGCACCCGGATGCGGCAGGGTGGAAGAGCGATCCCAGTGCTCCACGGGCTCCGGGCAGCCGGACACCTCTGTCTCCCCAAACCGACTTAGCACGTGCAAACCGCGAAGCCCAGACCCGAGTCATCCCGATCCTCTTACCCCGGAGCCCCACGTCCACCCGGCCAGCGGGTCTGGGTGAGTCCACTTCTCTCACCCACCTCTCTGCTCCCTCTTTGCCCCCTCCAGTCCCATTATGAAATTCAAACCGCTCCCGCTCAAAACTTTCCCGGGACTCCCGATCCTGACACGCCCAGCGTCTCTGCCAGGCCCTACCGGATCTGGCCTCTGGGCTCACCTGACTCTTAGACCTGAGCTCCTATCGCTCTGCCCTGGGGTCTCACGTTCTCCCCGCGGCCCGCTCCTGCCTTGGGCCGAGCCTGTTTCCAGATTCTCGTGAGCTCTGAGCTGCTGGCTCACTGGGATGACCACCTAGCTCACCCCCTTCCCCATCCCTTCACTCTGAAAGCACTGCCCAGAACTGGCATTGCGGTGACGACACTCCGCTCTAAGTGGGAAGCTGCCTGCCTCCCCACTGCTCCTTCGCTCCCCAGGACAGAGGCCCCAGAAAGGCAGTCCGGGGTCCCGTGTCTGTCTGGGTTACCTCTGTATTCCTGACACTTACACAGCGGCTGGCTCACAGCCCCCTGGGACCTCCCAGGTCCATGAAGACCTCACCTGGTCTAGGTTCTCCCTCTGACGCTGGGGGAGGCAGAAGTGTGTAGGTGTTTCTTCTTTTTTAAAGAATTATTTATTTATTATTAATCTTCAATTTGACCATGGAGAAACAGAGAGAGAGAGAGAGTGAGAAGGCAAGCTGCCAGGTCCAAGACTAGAACCAGCCGGCCATGTGGGAGTCCAGCACTTTAACTACCTGCTGGCCCCTGTGTAGATGTTTCTCTGAACCTGGGCTCTAGAATTCAAAGTCTAACTCTGTAAGTTACTAGCCCTGGAAATGATTATGGACAAAAATAATGTATTCTCTCAAAACAGCAGTCTCCCTATCAGACAGATGAGGCTAATGAGAGGATCCGCCACATAAAGACTGTCGAAAGGACTAAACGAGATGACGACATACAACGCACAGCCCTCGGCACAGGTCAGGAGCTTAATAAATGGCAGTCGTGCTTACTGTTACAGTCACGCGACCCTCTGCAGATGGCGCACCCGAGGCGCAGAGAGCAGGGACTGCCCTAAGCCAAAAGATCTCATGGCTAACGAGAGGTCAGGGAGGGTGCGTAGACCTCTTTTCTCTTCTTTAGAGAGATTTTTGCTATAGGGTGCGTGTGCTTGCTAGAGAGGCAGAGAGAGAGAGAGAGAGAGAGAGAGAGAGAGAGAGAGAAAGGAGAGAAAACACCCTCGGGGGGGAGGGCCCTCCTCCTCCCCAATGTGTGGCCGGACCACGCCTGTCCCCCACTTGGGTGTGGCTGTGTTGTGACACGTCCAGGGTGACCCACAAACCCTCCTGTGTGCCAAGCCTGCACTCAGGGGAGGGGATGCAGGAAGCCCCGTGGGGGAGACATCAGGAAAAGATGGGGTTCCTGAAACACCGTTGGGAGTCGATCTGCCCACCAGTCAGAAACACCCGTGTTGAATCTCAAGTGAACCGAACGAAAACGAACTCGGTGGCTCAGACCCTGGAACGTGGGGTTTGCTCATGACTCCGGCTCCAGGAATTACCGTAACGGCTGCACAACTACATCTCTCAGGTCTTAGCTGTCCCCCGGTGCTACGAACAAAGCAGGAAAGTTCAAAGAAAAGTCTTATTTCCCTTGAGGAACTGAAGGAGAAGGGATTGCAGAGTGACCATCCCCCCTGGGGGGTGATTTCTCACTTTCTGTCTCTCTGTCTCTCTCTGTCTGTCTGGCGAGCGCACATGCCTTATAGCAAAAACTTCTCAAAAAAAAATTTATTTTAGTTCATTTATTATTATTATTATTTTCAATTTGACGAGAGAGAGAGAAGAAAGTGAGAAAGCAAGCCACCAGGCCCGGGACTCAAACAGTGGTCAGCCCTGAGGGAGTCCAGCACCTTAATCACCAAGCGCCCTGCTGGCCCCGAGCCTCACAAACAGTTCTGTGGAGTGCCTAGGAGCACCCGGATGCGGCAGGGTGGAAGAGCGATCCCAGTGCTCCACGGGCTCCGGGCAGCCGGACACCTCTGTCTCCCCAAACCGACTTAGCACGTGCAAACCGCGAAGCCCAGACCCGAGTCATCCCGACCCTCTTACCCCGGAGCCCCACGTCCACCCGGCCAGCGGGTCTGGGTGAGTCCACTTCTCTCACCCACCTCTCTGCTCCCTCTTTGCCCCCTCCAGTCCCATTATGAAATTCAAACCGCTCCCGCTCAAAACTTTCCCGGGACTCCCGATCCTGACACGCCCAGCGTCTCTGCCAGGCCCTACCGGATCTGGCCTCTGGGCTCACCTGACTCTTAGACCTGAGCTCCTATCGCTCTGCCCTGGGGTCTCACGTTCTCCCCGCGGCCCGCTCCTGCCTTGGGCCGAGCCTGTTTCCAGATTCTCGTGAGCTCTGAGCTGCTGGCTCACTGGGATGACCACCTAGCTCACCCCCTTCCCCATCCCTTCACTCTGAAAGCACTGCCCAGAACTGGCATTGCGGTGACGACACTCCGCTCTAAGTGGGAAGCTGCCTGCCTCCCCACTGCTCCTTCGCTCCCCAGGACAGAGGCCCCAGAAAGGCAGTCCGGGGTCCCGTGTCTGTCTGGGTTACCTCTGTATTCCTGACACTTACACAGCGGCTGGCTCACAGCCCCCTGGGACCTCCCAGGTCCATGAAGACCTCACCTGGTCTAGGTTCTCCCTCTGACGCTGGGGGAGGCAGAAGTGTGTAGGTGTTTCTTCTTTTTTAAAGAATTATTTATTTATTATTAATCTTCAATTTGACCATGGAGAAACAGAGAGAGAGAGAGAGAGTGAGAAGGCAAGCTGCCAGGTCCAAGACTAGAACCAGCCGGCCATGTGGGAGTCCAGCACTTTAACTACCTGCTGGCCCCTGTGTAGATGTTTCTCTGAACCTGGGCTCTAGAATTCAAAGTCTAACTCTGTAAGTTACTAGCCCTGGAAATGATTATGGACAAAAATAATGTATTCTCTCAAAACAGCAGTCTCCCTATCAGACAGATGAGGCTAATGAGAGGATCCGCCACATAAAGACTGTCGAAAGGACTAAACGAGATGACGACATACAACGCACAGCCCTCGGCACAGGTCAGGAGCTTAATAAATGGCAGTCGTGCTTACTGTTACAGTCACGCGACCCTCTGCAGATGGCGCACCCGAGGCGCAGAGAGCAGGGACTGCCCTAAGCCAAAAGATCTCATGGCTAACGAGAGGTCAGGGAGGGTGCGTAGACCTCTTTTCTCTTCTTTAGAGAGATTTTTGCTATAGGGTGCGTGTGCTTGCTAGAGAGGCAGAGAGAGAGAGAGAGAGAGAGAGAGAGAGAAAGGTGAGAAACCACCCTCGGGGGTGATGGCCACGCTGCAATCCCTTCTCCTCCATTCTCTTCTCAGGATTTTGGACACACAGTCATGCCTGGAATCAGTTTCAACTTGCCAGGTCCGGGACTCGAACCACAGTCGACTATGTGGGAGTCCACTGCCTCAACCACTATTCTACCTGCTGGGCCCTCTCTCTTCTAAGGTTATAGAGCAAACCTGTCAACACTGCAGATGGAAAGCCCGAGTGAGGCTGTGAGCTTCTATTCCACTGTCTCTTCCCTTCCCCGTCCCTTAATTCCAACCCAAGCATCCAGCATTCTTATCTAAGCTGGAAGGAAGGCATCTCAGAAAAGATCCAGACCAGGACACACAACCACCCCGATTTCTTTCTTTCTTTTTTTTTTGGAGAGGTTTTTGCTATAGGGCGCGTGCGCTCACCAGACAGACAGAGCCAGAAAGACGGAAAGAGAGAAATCACCCCCAGGGGTGATGGCCATGCTGCAATCCTGTCTCCTCCATTCTCCTCTTGGGATCTTGGGCACGCACGCACACGTGCCCGGAGTGAGTTTAAGCCACTAGGTCTGGGATTTGAACTGCGGTTGACTATGTGGGAGTCCAGCGACATAGCCATTACACTAACTGCTGGTCCCTCACCCCGGTTTCCAGGGACGACCGGAGGCATACCCTAGAGTCACTCACGCAGATCTGTGCCGTACTTGAGCCCCACTTTGGGCACCCAGCCCTTGCTCCGGAAGTAGTGGTAGGCCATGTAGGTCGTCCTGAAGGTGGGCTGGGCGGCAGGGAAGGCTCTCCAGAGGTCCATGATCGTCAGAGGCTCCTAAGGTGATTGAAAAAGGGCGCTGTGATGTATGCATCCACCCACCCGCCAGCCAGCGAAGCCGCTTCTCTACCGAGCGTGGAGTTAAACCCGCAGATAAAGCCAACACAGAACCCCTAGCGCATGGGCGAAGCAAGACCCAGGTCTCCACTGTCCCCCAGACACAGCTGCCAGCTGGAGAGGACCGAGATGCTCTGTGAGACGCACCGCTCGGCCCGGACGGGGGCGCAGCAGTGGAGGGTCATAGCATCGGGACCCCTTTGGGGATGCTGTCTGTCTCTTGTGTCTCTCATGGAAGAAATAAACTTGTGTGTGTGCGTGCGTGCCCAAAGTCCCGAGAGGAGAACAGAGAAGGGACTGCAGGGTGACCACCCCCCTAGAGGAGTGATTTCTCGCTTACTACCTCTCTGGTGAGTACATGTGCCCTATAGCAAAAATCTCTCTTAAAAAATTAAAAAAGAACGTAGAGGCCAGCAGGTGGCATGGCGGTTGAGGTGCGGGACTCCCATGTGGCTGAGAACTGTTTGAGTCCTGGACCCGGCAGCTTGCTTTCTTACTCTCCCTTTTTCTCTGTCTCCCTGTGGTCAAAATTGAAAACTAATCATAATAAATAAAATTAAAAAAAAAATTTTTTTTTGAGAGGTTTTTGCTATAGGGCGCGTGTGCTTGCCAGACAGACAGAGAGAGACATAGAGACAGAAAGTGAGAAATCACCCCCCCAGGGGGGATGGTCACACCACAATCCCTTCTCCTCCATTCTCCTCTTGGGATCTTGGGCATGCACGCACACGCGCCCGGCGTGAGTTTTAAGCCACCGGGTCCGGGACGCGAACCGCAGTTGACTAAGTGGGAGTCCAGCGACATAGCCATTACACTAACTGCTGGTTCCCAAAATTAAAAAAAAAATCTTAAAAAATTAAAAAGAATGTAAACAATCTCCGCTATGTTGGGCTAAACTATGTAATACAATAAAATTAATTTCATTGTTTTTTGTTTGCCTAAAAAATTATTTTATTTCATGTTACTTATTTATTTTAATTTGACCAGAGAGGGACAGGGCAAGAGAGAGAGAGAGAGAGAGAAAGTGAGAAAGCAAGCTGCCAGGTTCAGGACTTGAACTGTGCTCGGCCATGTGGGAGTCCAGCGTCTTTAACCACCATGCCACCTGCTGGCCCTTCATCTGCTTTTAAAAGAAAAAAGTCCTTTGCAATGTGGCTGCCAGAAAATGTAAGGATGCCTGTGGCTCCCGGGGCTCCCCGCCTGTCCCTACGGGGCAGCCCTGCTCTAGGGCTCAGTTAAGGGAGCCCTGGAGGATGAGAAGCGGCTGCACGAATCGGGTCGAGGGCGCTGGAACAGGCGCAGGCGGTGGGCTGGGCCAGCCTTTCTAGGCAGAGGACGAGGGCATGCTGGAGGGTTCGAGTGCGACAAGCCCTCCGTGGCTGGGGCGCCGTGCTCCGGTGTTTCAGACCCCGAAGAAGGGGCTACGTATGTCAGGCCACGCTGAGAAGAGCCAGTCGGGCCAGCAGATGGTGTGGAGGGGAAGGGGCCGGATCCCACGGGCTGTCCGCTCGGTTTGAGGCCCAGACCCAGCTGCTTGAAGAACATGCCGGGTGTGTATGCAGTCGTGCTCTGTATCCTGAGAGGAGACGGGACTGTGACGCGGTCACGCCCCCGGGGGGGCGTTCTCACTTTCCCTGTTTCTGTCTCTCTCTGGGGAGGCACAAGCATCCTATCCTGGGGGGAGGGAGAAAAGCCAATGATAATTTTATAAAAGTTTCAAAAAAGAAAAGCTCTGCGGGGTTAGCTGGTGGCATGGCGGTTCAGGCAACAAGTGGCTTGGAAAATGTCCTGGTGCTTGTGCCCTAAACCCCAAGAGAATGGAGCAGGGACTGTGGTGTGGCCATCCCCCTCTGGAGTGTTTTCGTTCTCTCCTCCTCTCTCTCTCTCTGGAGAGTGCAGATGCCCTACAGCAAAAAAAAGAAAAAAAAAAAGGTGGGACCACCAAATGGCATAATGCTTATGTTGTAGGATTCCCACGTAGTCAACCATGATTCGAGTTCCAGACCTGGCAGCTTAAAACTGGATGCGTGTGCGTGCGTGCCCAAGATCCCGAGAGGAGAATGGAGGAAAAGGGATTGTGGCGTGGCCATCCCCCCTGGGGGGTGATTTCTCGCTTTCACGTGTGCCCTATAGCAAAAAAATCTCTCTTAAAAAAATTAAAAAAGCTCGGGACCAGAAGGCAAGAAATCACCCCTGGGGGGATGGCCACGCCACAATCCCTTTTCCTCCATTCTCCTCTCAGGGTTAGAGCATACAATGTACACGCGCCTGGCATGATCCGGGGTCGAACTGCAGTCAACTACATGGGAGTGCAGCAACGCAACCATTACGCCATCTGCCGGTCCCAAATATTAATTTTAATCAGACCAGCCATGTGACATTGGGTGAGTTAGTTATTTTCTCGAGTCTCAGGTATCTGTAAAATTCTAAAAAAACGGTAGTTTGAAAAAAAATTATTATTATTTTAATTGCCAAAGGACAGAGTGCGTGCCAGAGAAACAGAGAGAGACGGAGAGGGGAGCAGCACCCCCTGGCTGGGCACGGTCATGCTGCAATCCCTCCTCCATTTCTCCCTGATGGTGGGAATTTTGGTACATGTACCTGGCAGTTTCCAGGTCACCGGGGCTGGAATTCCAACCACGGTCGGCCATGTGGGATCTGCTGCCTGTGCTATGGGACAGCCCTGTGGCTTTTATCTTTGCTATTCACTTTTACTGCTGTTCTGACCCAGCTTCCTAGTCATGCTATGAGATACTGCACCTTCTCCTAGTCTCTACAAATGAAATGGAATCTACAAGGGTCAAAGCTAGCTTCTGCCCGAACAGGCCCAATTCAGGACCCAAAGCCAAGACTCAGAGGAAAAATTCAATTCCTATTTTACTTAGCAGATGCACACGTATTTGCATTAAAGCAATATGGAAATTAGCATGCCCCTTTAGTATCAGGGAAATTTTAAGTGGACAGGGTCTAAATATAACGTCTTACCTTCTCACAGTAAATACTTAAACACCCTAGAGCATACACCAGGAAGAAAGCCTAAAAACAGAGAATGCAAAATATAATTAGAAAGAGGGCGACATTCTTTTTTTCTTTTTTTTTTTTTTAATAATTATTTCATTTAACTTTTATTTATTCATTTATTTTAAATTGACCAGAGAGGATCAGAGAGAGAAAAAGCAAGAGAGCAAGCCACCAGGTCCAGGACTCGAACTGCAGTCAGCCATGTGGGAGTCCAGCGCCCTTAACCACCATGCCACCTGCCGGCCCCATTCCACATTCTTAAGAAATTATTTTACATACTGATTTCTCTTCAGATACGAACTAATGCTCTTAAATCATCAAAATGGTCAGTTAAAAAAAATGTGTTAAGAGGGTAGTGCACTCAGAGAGAGAGACAGAGAGGGAGAGGGAGAACGCCCCTCCTGAGATGGGGCATGGGCATGCATTTCTCCATGCTGTTGGGATTTTGAGCATGCGTGCACATGTGCCGGGTCTGTTTCTCTTCTTTCTATTTTTTGGAGAGGTTTTTGCTATAGGGCGCGTACGCTTGCCAGAGAGACAGAGAGAGGCAGAGAGACAGAAAGAGAGAAATCACCCCCCAGGGAGGATGGCCACACCGCAATCCCTTCTTCTCTTGGGATCTTAGGCATGTACACACATGTGCCGGGCGTGAGTTTAAGCCACCAGGTCTGGGACTCAAACCGTGGATGACTACATGGGAGTCCAGCAACATAGCCATTACTTCATCTGCTGGTCCCTGTTTTTATTTCATTTTAAAAAAATTTGCCAGAGGGGGAACCAGCAGTTAGCGTAATGGCTATGTCGCTGCACTCCCACGTAGTCGACCGCGGTTCGCGTCCCGGGCAACCCTCACTAGAAACAGACAAAAACCACTGGAGCTACTCTGCCTTTCTCCATTCTTCCATCCCACTGGGATTGTGGACACGTGTGCATCCGTACCCACTGTGTGTTTGCAGCTGCTGGGACCAGTCAGATCCCACACGGATAGCCCAGTGGTTTGGGTCCGGGACCTGGCAACTTGAGAAACAGGCCAGGCATGGTACCAGCAGTTGGCATAATGGCTATGTCGTTGGACTGCTATGTAGTCAACTGTGGTTCGAGTCCCAGCCCCAGTGGCTTAAACTCACACGGGGCGCGTGTGCGTGCCCAGGATCCTGAGAGGAGAATGGATTGTGGTGTCGTCATCCCCCCAGGGGGGTGACTTCACGCTTTCTGTCTCTCTGTCTCTCTCTCTCTTTCTGGCGAGCACACGTGCCCTATAGCAAAAACCTCTCCAAAAAAAAAATTAAGTCATCGGAAGCCTGGAGAAGTCTGTAGTGGTTGGCAATTCTGTCCTCTGAGATATCACTGGTAAGTTTTCCCTTTCACGGTGCAGTAAGATGGGAGGATGAGCTAGCGATGGCTTTTTAACATCAGATTGCTGAGCCCGGTTAGGGCGCGTAAGCGTGTAATGGAAAACAGATCCGACACCGGGTCTCCAGGAAGGAGTGGCATGTACCCGCTCACTGGCATGGCAGTCTCACCATGCCTGCAGTGAACACCCACGCAGTGACTGCAACCGCCACCAGACCCGCCCACTGAGGGTGACCAGAGGTAAGATGTCGGACGTGGATGGCACCATCTGGCATGCCTGGATTACACCACCAGGTGTCCAGCCAGGGGAAAAGCACATTCCACTTGACGACTTGGCCACTAGGTGATACTTCCATTGCTTAGGGTTTATTTTACAATCATTATTTTATTAGTTTTTTTTTTTTTTTGGAGAGGTTTTTGCTATAGGGCGCGTGCGCTCGCCAGACAGACAGAGAGAGACATAGAGACAGAAAGCGAGAAATCACTCCCCAGGGGGGATGGTCACGCCACAATCCCTTCTCCTCCATTCTCCTCTCGGGATCTTGGGCACGCACGCACATGTGCCCGGCGTGAGTTTTAAGCCTCCGGGTCCGGGACGCGAACCGTGGTCGACTACGTGGGAGTCCAGCGACATAGCCATTACGCTAACTGCTGGTTCCCAATTTTATTAGTTTTTTACAGAGACAGTGAGAGGGAAAGGGAAAAATCACTCCTTGGGGGGATGGCGACACCACAATCCCTTCTCCTCCATTCTCCCCTGGGATCTTGGGCACGCACGCACACACATCCAGTATGAGACAAACTGTGGTCAGCTATGTGGGAGTCTAGTGCCTTCCCCACTATGCCACCGGCGGGCCCCATCAATAATTACTGATAATTTAGAGGCAGTATCAGGATGGGATACAGGCAGATGCTGACTGAGCACTTATTAGATGTGCCAGGAGTGGTCAGGTGCTGCGTGCAGAAGTCTGGATTCCGTAAGGCTGACCACAGTTGGAATCCCAGCCCTGGCAGCCTGAAAAACTCTGGACATATGCCCCAAATCCCAACCGGGAGAAATGGAGAAGGGATAGTGACGTGACCACGCCCCATGGAGGGGGGGAGGGTGCTTCCTCCCTCTCTCTGGTGAACACACATGTCTTCTAGCAATCAAAAACATTTAATTAAGGGAACCAGCAGTTAGCGTAATGGCTATGTCGTTGGACTCCCACATAGTCAACCACGGTTCAAGTCCCGGACCCGGTGGCTTAAACTCACACTGGGCGCGTGTGCGTGCGTCCCCAAGATCCCGAGAGGAGAATGGAGGAGAAGGGATTGCGGCATGACCATCCCTCCTGGGGGGTGATTTCTCGCTTTCTGTCTCTCTGTCTCTCTGTCTGGCGAGCACATG